GATTAATATCAGTTTGTACATGCTCCAGATAGCTTTTCTTCAAATTCTTTAATTCTCACTCGCTTTTGCACATGCGCCGGACTGTAACGTAAGCGTTTTGGGCTGTTTCAATGTGGACGCGCAACTCTGTGAAAATGACTGAAAACGCTAGTGTGGACGCCGTTTTCAAATCTATCCGGGCTAGTGTGGACGTAGCCTCAGTTCCACTGTGTTTGAACACTCAGGGCCATCGTACATATTGCACTGCCAATATATCTGCCTATATATATTTACCATGCTTATATTCAAAAGTGCTTTCTTACCAAATGCTGGACTGACTTGGCTGGACATGTGTCACCACTTCCATCAAAAACTTTAAATGGGTATATTTTTGAATGGAGTAAAATTTATCCGTTTCATCTAGTTGATTGTGCAATTAAAAACCATGGTTGTTGGGTTTTGTTTAGTTTTTTCAGTTTGTACAAATTGAGGAATAAGTCCCACTTCCTGCAATTGTAAAACCACACAGTTGTGTCTTCTGCCTGTTCCTCACAGCCTCCCTGGAATGCAGGTGTTCTGGCCTAAAAGCATACCGGGCCCCTGCCTCCCTCTGCAGTCTTGTGCTTTGTACTCAGAAGCCTTTTAAAGCACACAACGGGTCAGTGAGGTGTGAATGGGATCTCTCTTAGCACCCCTGATGCAAAAGACACTGTCACAGATATTCCATCCCATGTCTGCTCTAATGGATTCTAATAATGGAGGAGAAGATTTAACACTTTAGCCAAAGACCCTGCAGATTTCAATGACAGCTGTCCAGGTGAAAGTGGAGCACGTGTGGTGGGAAGCATGCATGGATGATAGCTCTTTTGTTTAAATTTTGTGTTTCTAACAAAAGATACGTCCATAAATCTTTGGCCGGCCTGTCAGCGCATGGGCTGACAGGCAAGTCGAAGATGAGTAGGAGCCAGATAACTCTCTGAGGCCTACCATTATTCTGTCTGGTCTGTAAGTGCACCAATCTGCATCCCCAATACCAAGTTAAATGGATGAAAGCCGGCATTTTCTCAGCGAGGTTTTAACATTTATGTTTGTTTACAATGTGGAAATAATAGTCCTGCACGCGTTTCATGCTTCCGATATTTATTTCCTGCCTCTTTCACGTCTCGTTTATTTTTTCTTTTATGTTACAGGATTCAGTCTAATCAGGCAGGAGCCTAAAACAGACCCCTCTGCACCATTGATGTTGCTTTCAGTATTTTAAGTGAATGCCACATCCTGCTTTTAACTCTCACACAAATGTGAAAATGATCTCCCTTTAGTCATTGTGAACTGCAAGGGCTTTCATTAGACATGCTGAAATTTTGGGATTCTCATAACAGTCTCACTGTGATGATGATAGAAAGAAAATATTTCTAGCAATGGAAAGTTATTAAGAAAGAGGCAGTGTGTTTTGTAGCATTTGCTTTAAATCTGTGTGCCCATGCTGGCAGCCCTGGTATAGGAACAAACTGTATAGTGTTTATACTTGCAGTGGAATTCCCTTATTGATATCCCCACTTCAACACTTATTTTTAAAATGTTTGTTACGTATTTCTACAGTGGCTCTGAGAGATCAAATGCACTGCAAGAAAACATCAGAAAATTGGAAAAACGCTGCAAAAGCACACAGTAGAAGTTGAATGAAACAGAATGGAAATAGAAACATAATAACATCATGGAAGTTGAATGAAACAGAATGGAAATAGAAACATAATAACATCATGGAA